TTTATGAATATCTTAGAAAAAAGTGAAAAAATGATAAATACTACTTACAGTACTTGTAGGTGTCTCATTGCTCGGAAAGTTCCATTGACGATATTTTCCAAGTCGCAAGCAGTCATGGAACTACAAAAATAATATGAAAAAGTCAGCGTGGTGGAGAAGTTTAATGAGGAATGGTATATAAATGTTGAAAGGGTCGTACTGACTGATTGAAGAATGCACTCTTAAAAAAATATCGGCGTAACCGTAATTAGACAGTTAGAATGGAACATTTCTTTATAAATTTCAATACGCTTCTCTGTTGGGCCAAAACTAACTGTTTCTAATGTAAGGGGTAGACAGCAACCCCACCCCAGCCCCCAGAGTACTTTAGTCACGTGACCATCGGGGGGACGAGAAATTGGACCACGAGGTCGAAGAAAGAAAAATAGAATCGTTGAACAATATTTGTTTCTTTAACTATTTGTCTTCAGAAGCGAACCCAACACTAACTTGTTAAACTTAACAACCAAGCTAGTTTTCTCGGAGATTGCTTAAGGTAATACCTAGCAAATGCTAAGAATTTTTAGTGCAACGATTATTCTTATTTATAACTTATATGCCAACAAAGGGTGGTTATGTAGTAATTAATCGTGTGTATAAATACAGCGATATAACGACATGGTCATTTTGAATGTGAGTGTAACTTTTCTACGAATACTACTTTTCAACAGCTGTTATTGGCGTCGACACTCAACTCGCACAGTCTTCCGAAGTCCTACGGAACATCGTAGGTGAAAACAACTTGATTTGACAAAGAAAAAAAAGCTCATTGACTGCGAGTCCTGTTATTAAACATATACAGTTTAACGGGCAATTCAGATAAGACTCCACCAAGCAGAGATTCCAAAAGTCAGGAAGGAACTATGAAGAATTACAAAAGCAGAATTGCCACATTACAGTATACCACAGAGAGTCATGGCAGAGTGTAATGCTTCATGAGGTAACAATCGACTTCGGCGTCTGACTTAAACTAAATGTGCACAGATGAAACGCTAGGATTTACTTCGAATGTCACTACATCGTGAGACAGACGTTCAATATGATAATTCTTATTAGTTGGTGATTTGTGGAGCCACTGGACTTACAGATATTTCATACTTCCAAGCCCAGCGAAGATATCTGATGGCAGAGAAGGTCCAAGTGGATTTACACTGAGGTCTCTGTAAAAGTAAACCGTTTGGAATGAGCTCCAACTATCTGCTGATTAAATATAGGCCGATATGAGGTGTGAAATTTTAATTCCTTATAAACCGTGATGAACTGCTGATGCGAACTGGGATGAACGAGTAATTAGCGAATATCTCCAACGACTATATGCTTAAACATTCGAAAATATATATTTTTGTTATTTTTAAATCAAGTTAAAACATGACACTTACAGTTTGTGAAGCCGTGTTAATCCTTTAAGAATGACATTCACATCAGCAATTGATAGTAAGTTGTCTCTGATTTTCCTAAACAAATGTAATATCTAAATCAACTTATAAGTGTTAGACAGTGGGCTAAAATAACTCACCCAGCCTCATTTATACCACGCTGTTTCTTGCATTTATATATCTATCTAACGTTTTTTTTTAAGAAAATAGGACAACGGAAAGGAAAGAAAGACCCAATGTAAGCGGCTCATTATCATTTTATTCATAATGTTTGAAGAATAGAAGCTCTCAGTAATATTTTAGAAGTAAACCTTGATGTACTTTAATTGTGGCACACAGTTTTGAGAAGCACTTAATACAATATAACTCACAGAGAAGAAACGTTTTCTGGAAGGTAAAAACTCCCTGAAATTAAGTTCTTGGAAAGATATCTGGGAAGAAATGATAACAAATGTCATGAGATGAAGGTAGGAAAAACGAGAGATATATATCTGTCCGTATATATATGGCAAAAAATTTACATAAGTTAAAGAATTAAAGAGGACGCATCGATTCTCTGCTACTCTGAGTTTCGCGCCTGAACGTTCGTCAGACAGAACTATATAGTTATGAAAATTTGCAACTAAGCTAAGGATGTACCCGGCGACTGAACACACAACGGTTAGGATACCGCAAACTGTCAGCAAGCCAGATGAGAGAATACTGCCCGCTCTTGAAACTAATTAGATTGCAGGTTTGTAGAATACCACCCGCTCACGCTTCGAAAAAAAAATGATGCACTTAACGATCTCACTGTTTTATTATATACTAGCTAAATCAATTATTCACTTTAGTGTCAGTGACGCCTTTTCACGGCTCGGTGAATATCCACCTCTAGCCACACCCACTTAGGTGAATAGTTGTTTATCACATTAAAGCTATTGAAAGTAGAAATAAAAAATAGTGGTAAGTTCTACAAGGATAGTTATTTTAACCAGCCTAAAAAGATCACAATGAAAAAAAAAAACTCGTTTTTTAGCCAACCACATTTTGTAAACTTTTTGAATTAAATCATTACGAATTCCCTCACATCATTTTCAGTTTCTCCATATTGCGAAAAGTGTGTTGAGGAATGTGTCGCAGTGAATTATTTGATAAGTCCCTAGAAAAGAGAGAGAGTTCATGAAAGAAAAAAAATTAATTGATTCTCGAAAGATTAAGCATAAAATTTTCAAAAGACAAACGTTCCCATTACATATGATTACTTACTCTTTTCTGTTTTACTTATCATTAGAAGGACGATATTAGTATCCTAACAATCACCTAATACGTTCGAAATCTACCAGCTTATAGATAGTAAGTCAACTATTGAACCATCAATGAGTACCCAGGTATAACTTGTAATCAGATGGTTAGCTTTTTTATTTCTTCGCGTTTGTAGATGGCTCGGGGAAATTTAAAGACCATTTTCAAACTTTTTCACAACTTCGATAAATTTTTCTTCTGAATATGTTAGATATATGCAGTATGTTGACCACTGTTTCCTGTTAGTTTTCTTTTATCTTTTAAAAAAGAAAAAGTAATTTGCTTTAAGACAAATCATCTCGATCCAATACGAATTTCTCATGAACGGAAAATTACAGTTATTTTTTTAATTTCTTTTTTTATTTGCAACTTACAATTTCTTTAAGACAGTCAGGTTCCTAAAGCTTTCTTCTGTAATTGAGCTCAACGAACAACTTGAAAGATCTCTGGGTAGAAATTAAAATGTAAGTAAAGATGGTAATAAACATAACTTTGAATTCTAGAGGAGGTAAGGTCCGAAAGGAATAAATAAGCATTATTTAAATTAAAAGTATTTTGATCTAAATCGACACGTAGCATCCAATTATTGTGTTTTTCACAGTCTAGTATCACTTTTCTTATAATTAATTTCAAATTATGCGTTTGTTGTTCCTTTCTCCTTTTTCGTTTGGACAGGAATAACAGTGATGGCAAAACAAGCTTGAAATGGCAGAAATCGCCAGAAACCACAGCGAACTCACAAGATGTGAGCAATTTTTATTGATTTTACGTGTAAAAAGGTTCATATTTCGAAATATTTATCATTGTAAATCGACCATAGTTCGTTCCTCATATCATATTATTCCTTATAACGTGTTCAAATTCTTAACGGTTCCTCTCGTAAATCAACACCGAGTCACACAAAGCTTGACTCTTTCATGAATTAATCGTTTGCTTTTTCTCGAGACATGAGCTTGGGTCACCTGTGGTTCGCTCGGAAATCATCTTTGCTTTGTGTTTTCGTCTTGGCACTGACCAAGACTCCTTAACAAGTCTGCAACATTTAAATCTACTCTCGTTCAAGTCTGCAACATTGAAAGCTACCTTTGTCCGAGATGTGTCTAACAACTATTAGCTATGTAACAAATATGAACACAAAGGAGACGATAACAAGCCCTGCAGGGCGAAGGATGGCGAAGTTTCTTTATCACTTACAGTTCTCTTGTATTGCTTGGGATTCCCGTCGATATGAATCCATGAACTCGACATTTTACTATCAGTTGAGTCCTACCGAACTTGGTACATTGACAGATTTTTTGGCTGCAAACGTCACTCTCACATGGTGTTACAAACCCCAAGAGCAAGATGACTTGTATCAGACCTGTAAACATCGTTACCGTGGCCAGAGCGGTTTGCTGTAGACGTAAATTATAATATCCTGATTTCAAGATAACTAATAAACAAAGACTTATTCAAAACCGTTATCCATCGTTAAAAAGCAACATAGCTTACTTTATGTGCCTCCCAGATATCAGTTAGGCATTCTCACTATCTGTTTGAGACACAAAGTTAACTGTTAACAAAGGCACATATATCACGGAAACAAGAGGTTTCGTACCTCTGAAACATCAATATTAATTATGAGTATGCGTTAATGCATATTACTTAAAAACAGTCACTGGTTTCAATCTGCTAACTACAAAAGTTCATAAACGCTAATGAACCCCAAAGTATAAAATGAGATAATAAAACGAGAAGACCATAAAGATATGGCAATATTAAACTGGTTATGCCCTCTGCCTTTAGAGTAATCATTTGATTGATTTCTTTCACGGGAACTGGTTACCAAAACAGAAGACCACAAAAATTTTCGAAACTCTGAAGCATTAAAATTAATTATGAGCACGCGTTCAAGCATATCATCAGGTATTCTCAAATTCGATTTTTCTCAACACCACACTTGCTATGGAAGATACACGAGGTATATTGATTCAATACTAACAACAATAATTTATGCAGATTAGAAACATAAACTTCATTTCTTTTACACTACTTTAGCATGCTCACAGCACTGGTTGGGGAAGGATTGTTTCCTGTTTATAACTTCGTCACTGGTCATTGCTTTTGCTTCCCTTAGGTTTTTCGTCACAATAGTTTGAAACAGTTTGGTTTCGAGCCCTTGACAGTTGGCACTTGAACCGGCGACACGTCCTCTTGGTTACGATAGGCGATAAGGAAGATTCGAAGCAAAGTCAACAAATGCAAGCGGGAGTTTTAACGGAACATTTAAGACTCTAGCGGAGTATTACGTTCTAAAAACATTTGGACAATTTGCATCCAGATTTGAAGGTCTATCCCTCTCGGTAAGTTACGAATCTTGTCAGTATAATGTAATGATAACGATATTTGCCAAGTTTTGGTTATACATACATACACTTAGGCTTTTTCCTGTAAGAATCTTTTTATAGGAACAATCATAATCAGGCTGAGATTAGCCAAAATTTTGAGAACATACTCAGAACATACCCAGGCTGAGAATCAGCGAAGAATGTCTTTTATTGACTCGTTTTTCTTTTTTGAATTTAGCAGAGTATACAAGGCATGCCTTGCTCCCCTCTCACTACTGCGGTCGAATATTCGCGTCATTAAAATTCACAATTGATAAAGAGCTACCTACTTCAGCAGCTTAGACGACGATCGTAAATCTTTACACAAAATACCCGATAGATCACGAATGGACAAAATATTTGATTGAATAGAAAGATTATTTCACCGTTATTGTAAAGATTCGTCCCATTCTTGTTACTTTAAGTAGCTGCAGCTTTAAACACCGAGAGATCTAGTCGCAAAGAATAGACTCGTTGCCTTATATTTACTACAAGTTCGCTAGCAAAATTGTGACAACAGCTACAAAAACACTGGCGAGACGAAATGCAAACCAGCCTCTCGACTGAAAGGGCACCAGAAAGTGATAGATCAAAACAACTGCAATACTCTGCACTAGCTGAAAACTGTTTATTGTTGGCAGTTAGAAACAAAGATTGTTAAAATCCGCTGTAAAACCCTGATAGTTTTTAATGAGAGAGACTTACTTTTAAGCAGGAACCACTTTTTTTGCAAAAGATAAATAAAAAAAAACTCGCACCTTCTTAAATGTGAGACTTGTGAGAGAAAAAAATATCACACCCTCATCTTGCCACGCGTTTGATTGAAAACGAAAATAACTCAAATACATGCTCTCGCAAAAACTAGAAATCATTGCTTTGATCAGTATATCTTGTATCATCAACATATTTACACGAATTCGGCGCTTTTGCAAAGAAAGATCCTCGTGTTAGGTAAACATTTTGGTTCTAAAAATGATGAGCGCCTCGTTCGAAAACAGCTGTGCACCAGAAACAAGGTCTTTAATCGCCTCGAGGCTCTCCAAAGAAAACCGTCACTTTCGATTGTATTTAACACAAGTAGTAGGACCAAAAAATATATTTGTACATTAACAAAACTGACCGGTAAAAGCCAGACTTGACTTATATATAGAGAGAGGTGGTTTAAATGAGTCACTGCAATACGGATAAATTTAATTATTTTTTAATTTGCGAACCTTTGGCTCGATGCGCAACAAGAGGTCGGTTCAGCTTTATCCATCAATCTTTTCCAAAGACCACAAATTGCATTCGCCCTACGGGCTCTTGCAATTTTGCTTATTTATTCAAAATTGCGGTCGAAATCATGTGATTACCTATACTAATTATGTTAATGTTTTTAAAACAAGAACTGTAAAAAAAGTGATTGTTTCAAAGGCAAAGTTTACCACTTCGGGAGATATTTAGTTAAAGCTGGGACCTGTTACTCAGGGAAATAATCCAAACCAATTTAATTACAATCCACGTTTTAGAACCTAATCCAATACTGATACTACTATTATAAAATATTGGAAATATTAATGAAACACACTAGGTTTCAACTGTTCCTTTCAATGAAGAGACAATGGTAAACAATGTAAATCATAACAATCGAGCAGCATGGTTAACGATAGATCAGTGTACAACCACAAAATGAAACAGTGGCAAATATAGGGCCTAAATATGTCAAGGGAAGAACAGAAAGAGAAAGCTGATACAAAGGAATACGTGACAAGAAGGACAGGAAATAATGAGTTCAGAAAGCTCTGCAAGCAAAAAGATCAGAAAAATATGGAAAAAAATAAAATCTCAAAGGCGGGCATTTAACAAATGCAAAGATTCAAATCCTGATCATATCAGAGAACTGGATGGGTAGGCATTTGCCAAAAGTGGAAAGAGTAACCCTCAGCGTGTGCAAGAAGTGAAAAAAAATGCAAAGAATAGAAAGAGATCCTTCATGTCTGGTTGAACCCATGTGAAAGCCAGCCACTAAAAGACCCAGCTGTATAGCAGTTATAGAAATGCATTAATTTTAAAGTCAAGATTCTACACAAGAGATACAAACAACGACAACAAAAACAACAACAAGCTTTATTACCAAATTGAGAAGTTGAACTTAATTTACACAAATAATATATTAATACAAAAAAAGGTAACATTTGCTCAGAATAACTGAAAAGCTAATCTAGCTGAGTAAAAGTAAATAATGTTTAAATATAGGACGTAGATTGACACTAAAGCTTGAGCAAAGCAAATTATTGGTCAAAAAAAAAGAGGACATTAAATAAATAAATAAATAAAGATAAAATAACGAAAAAGAAAAAGAAGAAGAAGAGACCAGTTCAAAACTCATGAACAGTAAGAATGTAAAATGTTTAATTTGACTCAATCACGGTATCAGTCATCTGTCAGAAAGTGTGAAGGAAAAAAATATCCTAAATGTTCCCAAACTTTGCTTGAAGCATGTATAACTACCATTGCTAGTATAGATAATACGAAATGGACTTGCTCTACTTGCAAATCAAAATTGACTAGTGGGAAGCTACAAGTCTGATCCAAAGCCCGAAAATGGGATTCCCTGTGAAACCGTAATGTTTAAACTTGATACCTTTAGAAGAAAGATTAATTTTTCCGCGTATTCTATTTATGCAGATATATGAACTCCTTAGAGATGGATAATTATCTATTCATAGCAATGTTGTTAATGTATCAGCTGATGTAAATTCAACCGTTAGCACTTTACCAAGACCAATCAATGAATCACAAACGATCCTCATTAAACTCAAACGAAGGTGGAGTTACAGGCATCATTAATTTCAGAATGTTAGACCAAGAAAAGTGTTAAAAGCAGCAAAATACCATATTACAACAAGTGAATAGTTTCAAAATGGGCATATAGAAGTTCAGGAAAATTGGCTTGAGAATCCTAATACTAGAGTTAATGATGCCCTTGCAAATCAAAGTAATGAATGGGAAGTATTCCTCAGTAATTCACGCTCAAGAAAAATGATGCTGAAATACATTTAACTGATCCTGGACCTGAAATTACTATTCTGAAACTACTCAAAGACATGATAATTACACCGAACAATTAGTCACTGACTGTAATGACAATGGTAATGATGGATGGTGCGAAATTGAGGAGAGAACTTCAGGTGTCACAGATACTCTGTTACAAGAGCCAGATATGACTGAAAATGTTGAAAAGATAATAACTTTTGCACCATTAGAAGGAAACAAACCTTTCGGTATAATTATCGACAAAGACTCTGAATTCCTCTCTTTTCCATCTATTTACTCTGACAAAACTCGAGCTGATAATTAGGAGAGAAAGTCTAAACATCTTTTATACATTAGAAAAGTTACAAATAAACAAATTCGAAATAGTGCCTGCATCTCTCTAAAAAAGTGTAAAACAAAATACAACAAATAACCTGCAGGTGACCTAAAATCAGATGATTATGTAAATAAATTAATTCACCAGACGATGGGTTGATCCCTTTTTAGTCGTAAATGTGTGAAGCGTAGAAACGACTATTGTTGGGGCTCCTTCCAATTCCCCTCCCCAAGATCTCCTATGAAATATACCGGTGGGGTACAAAGCAGCGCCAAAAAGTAACCAAAAAAAAAAAAAACAAAAACAAGAGTTATAAGTTATTGTTGACGGAGGGAACCTAAAATGATAGCCAACCAGCCAGTCGTTCATTTTCAATTTTGTCGGGATTCAATCGCTATGCAATGGAATCTTATTCGGAAAAAATGCCGGGAGAAATGGAGTGAGTATCCTACTTACAACCTGCGGCGTATTTATACAAATTTTACGCTAGAAATCTGCTATAGTACACGCTTTTATGGCAAAAAGTGAAATTTAGGGAATGATGCAGGTCAAACGATAGCCAAAATGGTAAATTCTGACTATTAACCCAACATCACCCCAGCAGTTTAAAGTAATTCCGAGTAGTTTCAACTCTATCCGAGAGTTACCTATCGGCTGCCTATTTTCACACGAAAAATTGTATGTTTTTGTGAGGGAGAATTTTATTACATTCAGAACCTATTTAAAAGTAATGTATCCACGACTTATTCGCATATAACTTTGTTTTTGTTTGTTTGTTTGTTTTTTTTTGTTAATTTGGCACGAATAATGAAGAAAAATCACTCTTTTAAGAATAGTATCTTAAAGAGTCCATCAAACGCTTATTATAAAAAGTCGCGTTAAATCCAAACTAAATTCCTTTAATTTACATTGTTTTTTTGCCCAGCTGTCAGTTTGAAAGACAATGATGACTTTGACCCGAAAACCGACACAAACTATCTGCCTGGGTATGTTAGTTTTTGTTATCAGCGGAACATGGGGATATCGCTCGGGACTTGAAGTTATTAATGTGACATTCTGTGGTAAGTTACTCTTTTACTACTCTCTCTGCTTAGGAAAAATTGCAGAATGTTAGCAGAAATGGTAAAATCGAGAATTCCTCTCAGAAAAGAAGAATTGTTGATTTTCTTTTTAACAACAGACTTACTACTTTTAACTACAGACTTACTACGTTCTATTACTCCATCTGCATTATTTTTCATTTCCCTCTCTACTGCCCACCGGCTGTTTTAGTAAATTCCAGCTGAGGATAAGACTATTTGTTTGTCGCAAAAAACAGTCATAACTTAATTTTCCATACATTGCTTTGTATCTAAGCTTTTCTTGGGGCCTGGAAGTAAGTTAGAAATATAGGGGCTAATGAATGTCATCAACTGGTTATCAGCAAAAGACTCAATTGGAAACTAATTTTGTTTTTCTGTAGCCCAAGGTGATGCTCTATTTTTGCATTCTTTTCAGGAAAGTACGATAAGCCTCCAACGTTTAAAGCTTCTCCATGGCCTTTCTTTCCTACTGGAGTTCATTATAATTTCAATGTAACATTTGCATCTGGTAAGTTGAAGTCGACATGGAGGTGTTAATAGTTTTTATTGATTTCCAATCAAAAGTGATATCGTTACAAAACAAGGAGGAGAGGCTTATGAAATTCCACGGCTCGTAACCAGGATTTGAGAATAGAGGTTACGAGAGGACTTTGAGTGCGATTGCAAGTAAGAGGTTCTCCGAAACTGCGGAATTGAAGGCCTCGGAAATGAGATTTCAAGTCAGCGTTTATCCTCAGTGTGTACTAAAATGATTGTCAATTATGTATCCTGCAGCGCTTAAAGTTGTTAACTCTAATCACAAATTTTATTTCTTTCCGTATTTGTTAAAATTTTTAATGATTGCTGTCTAAACTTAACGGGTTCGACCAAAATCTTCCCCCTCCAACTTCCCTTGATGCACAACAGATATTACTTTTTCATTACACTAAGAGCTGTGCCGCGTTCTAACTAGTGCTTTCTTCTAATAGCAGTAGATGTTCTTGAAGCATCCATGCAATGCGAAGTGGTCTACAACGGCAAGGTTATTTTTTGGAAAAGATTCGACAGTGTATGCCATGCGTTCCCATACTTGTGCAGCTTACCTGCTGGTGGTAAGTCGACTTCCAAAGAGAGAGTTAAGAAGTAAATCAAAGGGCTCTTCATTCATGTTATGGCTTAAGTTAGCATTGTTTTCTTGGACTTGCTGAATTTAGGTACAGTTGAATTCGGTTTATGTGAACTTTCAAGACTTTTGAAATATATTTGCTTTTATTATTGAGCAGTTTTGTGATAAGAAAACTTGTGTATTCGTCGTGATGGAAATTGGAAAAAAAAGGATGTGTGGGCTGGAGGTGGAGTGGTCAGAGGTCATTAGACAGACAGTGTCCTTTTTGTTGGTGTGTGTGTTTGTGAGGCAGTGGGTGGGCTGGGTGGGGATAACCAGGCATCAAATGTTGCCCTAGCAGCAAGATATTAGTAACCCTCATCTTTCACGATCATTTACACCATTGTGAAATATTCCTAGCCCATTTCTTGATATCTTTTGTTTTAAATAAAGCGGCCATTGAATTTAATTTTTAACAAAGCGGCCACAATCTTTCTTAATAGAATTTCAAGCCTTCATATAATCTGATTTTCACACATTAATTTTTGCTGAATAACCAAAGCGATGAGAGATGAAACCAACAGAAAAACCATCTGAATGAAAAAGTCAACGAATGCCAACTTCACATTTTCTTTTAATTAGTTGTTTAGACTTAGTTCCTGTTTTCCATATATTTATCCCCGTGATTGTAATTATACATATCTCCCGTGATTAGTATAAATTCAAACAGTTTCTTTTTCCAAACAGTTTTTCAGCCGAAGGTGTGAAATACATCGAGACATATTTTAAAAATAAGAACGATGATCTTTCCAAAGTGCCTTCTTGACCATCTCTAACAGGCAGCTTCGAATGAAAAACAAAGCAAAAAAATATTTAGCAATGAAAAATCAAGCAATCCATCCTCATTGATTAATTATCAATCTATATATTGCTCTCAGTGCACGGTGTTTCATATTTTGAATAACCGTTGCTAATTTCTTTCTATCTTTTTGTCTTCTAGAAACCATAGTGTTGGCTGCATCTGGAGAATTGCCCGTAATTCCTCGATATTTAAAGGTAATCGATCAACTAGCCCAGCCCTGTCAGTTCACGGGTTTAAGTGCGTGTGATTCCTATCTGATAGCCCCGGCTGCATTTCAGTCCTTTTTCCCTCCCTAGCTTTTTTCCTGCTTGATAACCTAACGGTGAAGTTCTTCTCTCCTATGTGATGTTTGTACATCTTCCTCACAAGCGCATGTACCTAAATTCTTTCGACCAACTCTGTTGTAAGCACTAGTCCTATTGGCTAAAAAAATCAGCTTTTACAAGAATATAAAATTCGTTAGCCAGCATCCAGGACTAAAGATTTCCCAATATTTTTGTTTTATCGACTGAGTTAAATGTAAATCAGCCACTATAAAGAGTTTCTAAAGAGTTAGAATTTTATTCTGACCCAGGGCTAACGATTGAAACGTCAACTTTGAAAAATATTTATGCTGGCCAGTTTACGTTCTCAAACATTCTACGTTAATGTAGTCATTCTACCTTCATTTTATTCTTCAATCAATTAGAATCGAACCGGTACGGGGAAAATTCAACTTTTCAATGGAGAGGATATCATGTTTCTCTGTGCTGAGATTGAGGGCAAGATATGGTAAGAGACGAACAGGACAAGCAAGAGTCAAGACTCAAGAGAAGCATGAGGGAAAAGAATAAGTATGGGAAGACATGCAAAGATTCGTCTTGCAACCAATGATTTTGTAAAACATGGTTTTTAAAATCTAGCAATAATCAAAAAAGATAACTTTCTTAACTTTGAGTAAATACATAAATTACGTTTCTGTGGCGAGGGAATCAGCTCATTTTTGAAACAACCCGAAATCCAGCGTAAAAAACCGGAAAAAATAAGAGGGCGGATCAGTTCGCGCGAAGAAAACTATAGATTGTAACAAAAAATTACTTAGATCTAAATGAGAATAAAACTTCTTGAAATACCAGTTATGACAGTGCAGTTCATTGCACACGAGCAAAACTCATAACCAAAAACTGTCTATTGTTGTTGTCTGTGCTTTCAATTATCTATCACTCAGCTGCCTTTTTTTCTCGCTCCGTAAATAAATAATTTTAGGGTTCACCGTGTTCGGAGTTTCAGAGCGAAAAAATGAACATTTCACGACAAAAAGTACCATCTGGTTTGTGTTATTTTGCCTTTTATTGTCGTCAACGTGAAAGGACGCCTCAATAGTTTTCACCGTTTGCTGTTAAACGGCCAAAAAAGTTTTGCCGATAGTCGTAAAAAAGTTAATCGTAAAAAAATGTTTATTTTTAATCCCAACGGAATGAAGTGAACTGTTAGCCGTAAAATGGCTGACTCTTACATGGAAAAACGTAACGAACTCAACGAACAAATTCTACATTGCCGCTCTGAACTTTCCAAAATCTTTCCAGCTGTTTTAGTACAATCTATTTATGCCAAAATTCAGGATGCCAATTCTAAACTTTTTAACCATTTGCAACAAATTAAGGCCCAAAAAGTGGACCAACTTATCGGTCCTCAAATTATTCGCGACTCATCGCCTGAAATCCGCAAAACTGCAGTTACCATTCCAGAAAAACCGAATTGGATATCAAATCCGAAAAACCGTGGGTATTTTTTTCGCAAACCGAAAACTTACTGCCAAAGAAACGAAAATCCGCAAACTGATACAGAGACCAAAATCAAAAACCGAGTTTTTCAGCGCAAAAACTGAAAACCTGATCTAAAAAAATGGCCCCAAAACCGAAAACCTCAAAGCCCTCTTTAGTAAGGGGAGTAAGTTCCTGTAATGCTGCGTTGATGGGAGAGTAAAACAAGGTAATTTCGTATCATCAACTGAGTTGATAACGTAAATTGGCCATCGTAAAGAGTTTCAAAGCTGTCGCTTTGAGCGTTAGTTCTTCTCCAGAGTGAACGACGTAGGGCTAACGCTCGAAACGTCAGCTTTGAAACTCCCTACGGTGGCTAATTTACGCAATCAATTCAGTTAATAATACTGAATTACCCCTCTTCAAGTAGCTGAGCAGTAGTAGACTTCATTTAACGAAGGTAACTAGTGACCGTAATTACACCGACGAACTCATGGCCCTCGTCGTTCTCCAAAATCATTCTCCAAAATGCTGGTTGAGATATGAAAGGACGTATATTTGATTACATAGAAAGCTTATACTGCCACTCTTATAAAGATCCCTTCCTTACTTGGTAAGTTGCAATATTGCAAACCAAAAAACTAACATGCTACATGTACATACACTAAGATATTAAGCTTTGTTCACTTTACTAAAATGCCATACATAACGTCCTTTTACCAAGTTAGTTCTAACATGTTGTGTTGAAACATTAAGAGCAACTCCATGCAAATATCGACCAAAGTGCGGCAACGCTCAAACAATCAAAATCGCTCTTCTTTAGCATACTGGTAGACTTTAGTTAGTGTACAAACGCCATGTAATTTTTTCTTTGAAAGATCTGTTCCTTTCCGAGAAAAACGTGGAAAACCGTTTCAAGCCCCGCCGACGATTTTGCAAGCTAAAAGCAGGGTTGAAATTCACTATGATTCGCTTCACTCGCGTTTCAAAACAACCGCGCTAGAATAAAAGCATATCGCTAGAATTTTAAGTATAACTCGTCGTGGACCAAAATACATAATATTTTTAGCATTACAACAGTCTGAGTAATTATAAAAAGCTAAAGCGTACAGCTACCTGTTGTTTACCCACGAGAGGTAGTTGAAAAAAGCGACGATTTTCATCATGTGCCTTTGATCAGAATTTTTAAAGATTGAAGGAGAAAACACTAAGAGTATCAAACTTTTATGTTATGTAAAAATTATTTTGGGGAAACTATTTCGAGCTTCTCAGAAATCATTTGAAAATCGCGTTTCAGACAACATAAAATGACGCCATCCAACAGATGAGTCACCAGCAACATTTGACCTTAGGTTTTCGTTTACAACGCTAGCGCTGGTGGCCTTGATATGTAGAATAATTTTTTAAAAAGCTAACCTTAACCCGTATCTGCTGTACTCCAAGCTCCAAGTTGTTTCATTTTGCCGTCTTATCACCTTAAGCAGGGATGGATCCAGGATTTTGAGTGAGTAGTTTCCACCCGAGGACCCACTCCTGCTAGGGGGCTTCGGGGGCATGCCCCCCCGAGAAAATTTGAAATTTGGAGCTCTCTAGAGGCCATTTCATGCATTTTTAGAAAACTTAATTGCCCCCAAAAGACTAAAAAAGCATGTAATCAAAAAGGCAAAAAACATTTATTTTTCTTGAAAGTACTACAGGAAACACTCTGATCTACAAATATTCCACCTTTAGCTACTGTGCAAACCAGTGTATATAGTGTTTTCAGGAAGGCCAAGTCATCACCAAGACTTTTCACACTGGAAAACATCACCTCCCAGTCAGGAAAATCAAGATGTGGAGAAAAAAAAACGAACCAAGTGTTAGTGTTTTTGATAACAAAAGAAAAACAAGCTCAATTGATGATATAGTTTAAAGATTGATAATAAAAATCTACTTGCCTTTTTCATCCTTGGGACCACAGGCTTACCATCCATAAAGCCCTTCTCTCTCTCAAATTTCTTCTGTGTTGTGCTCCTATAATGAATGAAATGAATGAAAGCCAGGCTCAATAAATCCAAATGTTTAGCAACACTAAAAACAACATTTCCTGAGCTGGCTTTTATTCATTTCATTTATAGGAGCACAACACAGAAAAGAATTTGAGAGAGAGAGAAGGGCTTTATGGATGGTTAGCCTGTGTTGGGAGCTGGAATTCAAAAAATAAAACAATTATTAGAAAAATATAAATTATAAGAATCATAAAATGATATACAAATTGAAGTAAAATGATAATTTGAAATAATACTAGCCTTTCTTCATCCTTGGGAATTGCTGTGAAGCTGGTTGAGTTCAGTGAAAATGTTTGTTAACCGTTTAAGCTTAACATGAAAACCCAATGTCAATGTCAATGTAAAATCATCACAAGTAAAACAAAATAGAAAATAACCTTGAAATGAGTTGAAAAAAGTTATACAGGCACCAGTTTGAGCTTCTGTACTGTTCTCTATCAGTTTAAGGATTATGAGACTTAAAGGCCATAACCCAGACAGAACATAACTCACAAGTACTCTAGAAACAGCTGGTGCAAAAAATTATTACAAAATGTTTGCCATTCTCATTCTCCTAGGATGTAACTCAGCAAATAAATCTATTATACGTTCAAGGTCAAAATCCATGTCTCTGTGGGCATGCATCAGTGCCAATCCATTCAGTCTGTCCTGGGTCATTGTATTTCTCAAATAGTTCTTAAGATTCCGAAGGGATGATATGGATCTCTCACAAGATGCAGATGAAATTGGAATTGTGATCAGGACTTTCAGCATGGAATAGATGTTGACATATGCATCTTTGTCAATATCCTTCAGTGTAGCCTCCAAACTGTCAGGAATAATATCTCCTCTGTTATCCCTCCCCTTCCACAATCTCTCCCATAACAAAAGCTCTGCCTGTAATCCTGCATAATTTGGTATGTCCTGTCTGTAATGGTTACAAAATTCCAAAACATTGGCCTTCCAGGCAGGGTCAGTAGCTAGTAAAACAGAGGGAATAATCGAAATACCTTTATAGCAAACAAATACATCATCCTGGAATCTGGTGTTGAGCTGCTGGAGTACATGGTCAAGAAAAACTCTAGTGAGATTGATCTTGAAATATCCCTCAGGAGTTGCAACAGGAGCATTATTTCTATGCATTTGTCTCTGGGCTATCCTTGGCATTTCTGGCTGGACTGCTACTTGTCTTGCAATGGTCACTGCTTCCTGGTAGAGATTATGATGTCTGTTATCAATGTCAGTGCTCATGTCTTCAAGGACTGATTTCAAAAGAGCAAATTCATCTTTAGCTTTTAGAAGATCCATTGCTTTTTGTTGCAGCTTCACTGTGAGTGGTCTAGTTAATCCCAAAATATGTCTGACAATAACAAGAGAAACAATAAAGGAAAAGTTGATTGCATTAATTAAGGACTGAGCATCATGTCTGCTTGTTGGATTCCAGGTTGAGTCTCCAGGGCTGTTTCTGTTAAGTGAGATGTCTTCAAGTGTAGCTGTGACTGGGTAGGGAAGTTCAACTATGCGGTCCATTCCATCAATCCGTTCAATCCATCGTGTGCGGCACACATCAATTAAAACAGTATGGTTTGCCCGAGGCAATAGTTCTCTGATCTTGGCTATTAAATGTTGTTGACGCTTGGGAGAGTTGTTAAAAAAATTAGAAATCTTGCGCACAATATCCATCATGTTCCTGACAATTGGCAATTGGCAAGTGTCTGCTATGCACAAATTAAGCCTGTGGTTCATGCAGTGGACATAGATTGCCTTTTCGTGTTCTGCACTGATCAATGAGGAGGCTCCATTTAGTCTTCCAGCCATATTGCCTGCACCATCATAACACTGCCCACGACAGTCTTCCATTGTCAATCCTAAGTTTGCTACAGCTGCAGTTATAATGTCCTTGATAGCCTCCCCTGTTAATCCCTCCTCACAAATGTAATACCCAATAAATTCTTCTCGGATGGTTTTAGTTGTATCCAGAAATCTTATTACTACAGAAACATTCTCCTTATTTGAAATGTCAGCAGCTTCATCTGCCATAACTGAAAAATACTTACTATTTCTTATTTCCTGTGATAGATCATTCAAAATGTGAGCACCAACAGTTTCTATCATTTCATTCTGAATGGTCTTTGAAATGTATGTGGCATTTCTGGGTGCAGTGTCCAGGTGTTGCTGCAGTGTTTGGTCACCACTGTCTACCTGGAATTCTAGCAATGCCTGGAAATTACCGGTTAGGGCAGCATTAGTGGGATCATCATCTCTCCGCCCCCTGAGTGGGATGTTGTTTTTCCCACAGAAAATAATAGTTTTGAAAAGGGACTTTAGAATCTCCCGATTTCTCGCGATTTGCTGTTGAACTATGTTATTTAACTGCTGGTCAATTGGGACAGCTCCTCTTTGCATCATTCTCTTGAAATCATTCATAGCAGTCATAGAAAAATTGTGAATTTCACAATTTCCTAGCGAGTGTTTGGTTAAGCGAGAAGCGGCCGAAGTCCAATTTGTGAGAGGAGACTTCAATAATTTGTCTAACTTATTAGCGTTTCGCCCACACTGAACTCCAAAATAAACACAAGCTAAACAAAATGCTCCATCGAAATATTTGGAGTAAGCTAGCCATGGAAATCTTTTCAGCCAGCCCGAGACAAACTTACGAGATTTTCCATTTTCCATTGACACGGGGAAATCAAAAAGCTCACCTGGTTTCCACACGTTTTCGACGAACTCCAGCTTCTGATGCGGCGAATAGTTGTGGATCTCGTCGAAAACTAGGCCAATGTCGAAGGGAGAACAATCCTCCCTCCGACAAACAGGATCTCCGCGAGTCATAACACTAGTATTTTTTAAACGTTTAACAGTAAATTCCGTCGTTAACCCCTGAGCAAGTTCAAAAGTACTTGTATTGTAGGAGCAACGAAAGAGACCCGCTGGGGGAGGAACTGCCCTTTTTATACTTTGTCAGTAGTTTCCAAGGTAGTTTCCAAACACAACTAGCCAATCAGAAGAGTGTTTTGAGTGAGTTCCGATGACGAAATCTTTGCTAGCCAATCGTGAGGGGTTTTGACTGTGTTCCGCCTGTTATTGTCACCAAATAACAAGGACTTACACCCACCGGTTGCGTAAAGATTGGCTCCACGAAGGCCAAGGGCATACACCTATTTCAAAACATAGGCATGCTATGCATGCAAGAGTTACTTTTTTGTAGGGCGCGTGGATTACTTGAAACATTGTGAGTGACGTCTACATTCTTACAAAAGGGGAGAAGAGTATTAATGTGGGAAAGAACGAAAATGTCGAATTACCTTACTCACAGGTATTTTGTGGTAGATTATGTGTGTTAATAAATAAATGTAACCAAAAATAAACTGTATTGGTGCCTCGGATACCGGTTAGTACAAAATGCAGACAGCAGACTGCAGACCGAATACAAAATATAGACTGCAGAATGCAGAGTGGGTACAAAATGCAGACTAAGAATCTGAAGAGTTTTTACGTCTGGTACATAATAACATGTCATCTTACAGCTCACCGAGCGTCACGCAATCGCTTTTCTGCGATCCGCCCTCACGATTATTTGCACTATTGTGGAATATTCCTGGCCCATTTCTTGATGAAAATCAATCACAATATTATTTCAAGCCTTCAATATAGTCTTCTTACTTTGCGCGCGAGTTGGTTGGTGTGATGTCTGTACAGATTTTACCAACGTAATAAAAGTAGATGACGTGAATCACAGTGATGGTAAAGCAAGCTTAAAACGGCAGAAATCGCCAAAAAATGCAACGGATACACAGGGTATGAGTAAGTTTTATTGATTTTACGAGAAAAATGTTCATATTTCGAAATATTTATCGTTATAAATCGACCATACTTCGTTCCCTATACTATTCCTTATAGTGTGCAGTTCCTCTCGTAATTTAACATCGAGTCACACAACGCGTGACGCGCCATGAATTAATCGTTGGCTTTTTCTCGAGACGTAAGCTTGGGCCACCTGTGACAAGACAATTGCGTAAACAATATTTAACATAATAACATTATACACAAAAAACACAGGGTTTTGGATCACGTATTTATTAAAAAAAAATATCCATACAACTACAATGAAAACAAACATAAGATTCACCTTTCTGATCGTGAAATTAATACCATTCGTACTGTTATCGTAGCTACGTTCCTTGCCATCAAGTGAATCCAACATGTCGTCTTTCTTCACAAGCAGTTTGCATCCATTATAGTTATGTTCTTTAGTCTCACGGTAGTAGTGTTGTTCAATAGATTGCATAGAGTATATGCAGTTTGGTTTCAGATTTCAGATTTTGTTTTTTACAATAAGTGAACGTTTTTCAACTAAGACATTGGCATACTTAGCATACAAGGCATTCAAGGCTTTCATGGCTTTCAAGCGTTCGCGACTCAATCCGTTCCAAAATTACCGCTCAATAACATCTTTCAGTGTGGATTAGCCGCGATTAATACGACTTGTATATGCGTCTGTAAGTATTTTGCGCGTTTGCGCCATAATGCTCCAGGAGATCGCAATCCAAATACGTTGAAATACAAAACAACTGACCAAAGAGTTTTATAAGCAAAATCTCGCGATTCGTCATGTGACCCGGCCCTGTCTGTGCATGACAACGTCAATCATCATCAAGATAACACGCGTGATCAGCATGTGAACACCTCATTGGATCACAGTTAGTTGTCATGGTGTTGAGGTATAACACGCGTGATCAGCATGTGAACACGACTGGGCTACCACAGGTATCCCAGTGAAAAGACGATGATGACTTCGATCAGTCAGCTACGACGAACTATCGCTTTGAGACCCTTTGAGCTTGCTTCTTTTTGTCATCAGTGAAACAACGGGATATCCCTCGGGACTTGAAATTATAAATGCATCATTCTGTGGCGAGTGTCTCTCTTTTAATTTATTTTCAATCCTCTTTCAAAGATATTCCGCCCGCAAAGGCTGTTCAGGAATAATTTCAGAATGTTACTAGAAATCGAATAGAAAATAAAAAATGAAATTTCTTCTCTCTTGTCGACTAATTTAGAGGTCTTGAACGATCTTTCCAATTTCAAAATTTTCTGATTGTATTTTTAATTCCCAATTTCTAATTCCGGGATTTTATAAATTCGTTGTCCATTCTCGATCGTTTATCCTCGATTCAAAATAATAGTTGCTTCCGTTTCCATTGTCCTAATTTAGTAAAACCAGCTGCGGATGAGAACGGTCATGTTTTGAAAAGTCGACACTTTTCTAGGATAAAATGTAAAGAGCCTGGCCATTGTGATATTCTATACATTGCTTTTTCAAAGCTTCTCGTGGGCCAGGAAATTCGTTAGAAAGATGGGGACTGAAAGACAGGTCATTATTTATTGCTTTTTGGAGGTTGGATAGTGTGAAACTGATCTCCCTTCAAGGCTCTGTAATATTCTTATTATCTCTTCTCATTGGCAATCTTCTACAGTCCCCCCTTTATACGCTGTTAGCGACGACTGATCCTCCATCCCCTCCCGTGTGATCCCACCTACAAACCTTCCACTCCAAGCCCAAAAGTATGAAGAAATAAGAATCATATAAACCGTTGACTAACTGGTGACTGAACTGTAAACTGTTATTGTTTCTCTGTGGTCCAAGGTTTTAGAAACTTTTGGCTATTATATATTTATGTGCAGAATTTCTCGACGCGTCAAAATAGCATTGAAACTCAAGCTTCATTGTTGCATTCTTTTTAGTAAAGTATAAGAAGACTCCGACGTTTAAAGTTTCTCATTGGCCTTTCATTCCCACTGGTGTTCTTGTCAATGGTAGTGTAACATTTACACCTGGTAAGTTGATGTAGATTGAATATAGGGGCGTTATTATATGATATCAATTTTTATATCTGAATATTGTAAACACTAGGAGGGAGGAGAGGCTTATGAAATTCCAAGGCTTCCAGACGGGGGTTAATCAGAGGAGAAGCTTTTCGGGAGTGGGAAGGGGGGTAGGGGATGCACAACAGATATAGCTTATATTGTAAGCTATATCCTTTACTACACAAGGTTCTTTTTTGACGCTTTCTAACTGATACTTACTTCGTATTATTGTGGGTCTTCTTGAAGCGATAATGCAATACGAATTAATCTCGAACGACAAGGTTATTGTCAGGGACAGGGACGATGGTCTATGCATTTCTTCCCCAGATCTGTGCAGCTTACCTGCTGGTGCTAAGTCTCCAAAAGAGAGTGACAAAAAGAGAAAATCAAATCTCTTGTCAAAACCAAATTATCCTGTTAAGCCCACCACCTACGCAGCGCCATGATTTCTTTGGAAAGTTACTCCCCATGAATATAATGGTTTCCAGTCGAGCACTACGTAATCTTCTTTTCAAAATTTTCGTAAGCTCACTTCAATATACGCTGGCTCTCATGAATTTTTCAGTTGTTTCAAAAGGCATTCTCTCTTAATTACTTTTGTTATCATCACATTGACTGCTCTATGACAGAATAATAATGATGGTGGTGATCATTATCATTACGATTATGGTGATTTTTAGCAATGTGTGTCATGGTTGGATCTGTTCTTTTCTAGGAACAGGCGAGAGTCGTAAATAAATCTATGTGTTTACATTGTACTTTAATTGACACATTGTTCTTTCATTCTATTCTTCAATCTGTTATAGACTTAAAGCTATAAGGGTAAAGTTCAACTTTTTAATTAAAAGAGCGTAATGTTTCTCTGTAGTGAAGTTGTTGGAAAGGTACTCTAGGAGACGAGCATGAGTAAAGACTCAAGAGAAAGACGAGAAGCATGAGGGAAAGTAATTTGCTTAGGCAGGGAGGACATTAAAAGAGTCGTCTTGCAATCGCTGATATTGTAAAACAAAATTTCAAAATCTAACGATAATTATTATAGATAACTCTGCTCAGTAATTTTGAGTAAATTCATGGATTAAATTTTTGAGGTGAGGGAATCAACTTATGAATGAAACAGCGTGGAATCTAAACTAGGCAGCCAAAACAAACAAAACAACAAACAAAAATGGTAA